GACACCACTGCACTCTACCAAGGGCAACAAAGTAAGACTGTCTCTAAAAAAAAGATTTGGGGTCCAAATGCCTCTTTGAATCCATCCTTTCCCTCACTGGTATTTATTATATATTTTTTTAGTTAAACTATGACAAAAAGAAAGCTTTTGGAGGTTGGTTGTAATATTGCTAAATTCAATACGATGGTTCAGAGATAAAAGTAATTTACGTATCTAATAATTTATTCCCAAAGACACAGTTCTATAGCACTTGGCATAAAATTATCAGGATAATATGCAACATGTAATTATTTGATTGTTTGCCTACTTAAGATTTTAATGAACACATATACTTGCCTATTTAACTATGTTACTTTTAGCTGTGAGGTTCACAAATAGCAATCTGAAACCTGTTAATTCTTTGATATTCCCTGATGTTAACCTGACCAATTACTGTTTGCCACCAAACACAGCAAATGATTAGAGCTCTCACATCCAGATCTTGTTAACAGAAGAGGTTAAATATGGAAAGAAATCCAAGGCAAGACATCAATGCAGCTAAAAGAATAAGGTTTAGATGGACCAGTGACCATCGGGAACTTTTCTTCTGGTATCCTAGGTTTTGGGCACCAATTTCTCCCAGGTATGAACACCCTAATACCCACGTCTTCCAAGCCACATCAAAAAGTCTTTTTGCCTCCTAAGACCAGAATCAGATCAGGAATCATATGTATTTCATAATCAGGGTTTGATTTTCTTAGAGGTGTAAGTTTAAAGAGAATAAAGTAGGGAGCATGAATGATTTTATATATAAGCCTTCAAGAAGAAAAATTAAAGTCAAAAGTTTAAGCTGACTTCAACTAACAGTGAAGTACGATTTTTTTTTTTTGCAGTTTTTGGCCAGGGCCAGGTTTGAACCTGCCACCTCCCATATATGGGGCCAACACCCTACTGAGCCACAGCTCCGCAACCCAGTGAAGTACTATTTCTTTTCTTTTTTTTAAATTAAATCATAGCTGTGTACATTAATGCATGAAGTACTATTTCTTAATACCCTATTCCTTTCTTCAGCTTGTTATAATGTAACAAATTATTGACTTGTAACAAATTCTTGAGGATGCATATTTAGGGGAGTTGGAGCAAGGGTGAGAAGGCAGAAAATTCATCTTTCCTTAATATGCCCTTGCATGCTATCTGATCTTTTTTGGAGCAGTTTTTGGCCAGGGCTGGGTTTGAACCCGCCACTCCAGCATATGGGGCCAGCGCCCTACTCCTTTGAGCCACAGGTGCCGCCCCCCACCCCCTTTTTTTTTGAGATGGAGTCTCAAGCTGTCACCATTGGTAGAGTGATGTGGCATCATAGCTCACAGCAACCTCAAACTCTTGGGTTTAAGCCATTCTCTTGCCTCAGCTTTCTGAGTAGCTGGGACTACAGGCATCCACCACAAGGCCCAGCTATTTTTTTGCAGTCGTTGCAGTTACCATTGTTGTTTTAGCTGACCCAGGCTGGGTTCGAACCCGCCAGCCTCAGTGTATGTGGCTGGTGTCCTACCCACTAAGCTGTGGGTGTTGCCCGCTATTTGACGTTTCTAAACCATGTACATTATTTTCACAATTTACAAAGAAGTAACATATTACAAATAATAAATGAATTCAGCAAGTTTGTAGGTTATAAGCCAAATACACAAAAAGCGATTACAAGGCTGGGCGCAGTGGCTCACGCCTGTAATCTTAGCACTCTAGGAAGGTACGGTGGGTGGGTCACTTGAGCTCAGGAGTTTAAGACCAGCCTGAACAAGAATGAGAACCTGTCTCTACTATAAATAGAAAAATTAACCTGGCATTTGTGGCAGGTGCCTGTAGTCCCAGCTACTTAGAAGGCTGAGGCAGGAGAATGGCTTGGATCCAAGAGTTTGAGGTGCTGTGAGCTAGGCTGATGCCATAGTACTCCAGCCTGGGCAACAAGAGACCTTTGTCTCAAAAAAAAAAAAAAATTATCTTTTAGAGAAATATACTGAAACATTTACAGATGATAAGATATCTGGTATTTGATCCAAAAAAATAAGGACTATGCATAAAAACTGACATATATTTTAATACATGTTACATTTCAATAAAGTATATTTAAACAAAAACACTTGTATGCAATGAGGGAGTGGATAGGTATGTGAACAGGGCGGGAGTGGCTACGGCTGATGGTTATTGGGGCTAGGTGATGGGTATATAAGGCTTATTATGCCACTCTGCATACTAAACAAATAAAGAAGAAAATAAGCCAAGTTTGCAAATACATATGAGGGAGTCATCTAGAGTTGCTAGAGGGGCCATATAGCCAGAGCAAAGAAGGGAATCCAATCAGTGACACGACTCTGCA